TGCTTCGTAGTTATTTGAGTGATTTGTTCGCTTGTCACGGATGCAAACCGGCACGCCACTTTTTCTCGAGTTGCTCGGAGGTAAATAGCAAAGGATATTAGGAGTTTGACTAGCCAATCAGAGCGCGCCTTCAACGCTATCCACTGTTTTAGTATATACTAATTTTCTCTATTCGCAGGCCAAGCTCAAAATTTGCTTTCTTCCGTACGGTGTTAAACGCAGATAGGACATTTCTTCAATTGAACTATGAGGCAAAATATGCAGGTCTTGCTTTTGCTAATGTTGCAAAAAAATATTAAGGTGATTTTGCTTTCGCGCAGAAAACTGGATAGACTTGAACGGGAGGAAATGGAGGCGCAAAGTGGTCACAACAAAAGGAAGAAGAAGAAGGAGAAGAAGAAGAGGAAAAGAAATTCTTCATCTGACAGCGAGGAAGAGTCAAATAAGCAGAGCAAAACGGGATATCATTCCGAAAGTGATTCATCCGACTCTGGAGAAGGAAAAATCAGGAAAAAATCAAAGAATGAAGAAAAGAGAAGAAATTCGAGAGAATTAGCAGAAAGGGATTTAGGCGAAAAGTATAGAAAGCGGAAAGATACAGAAACAGATAGACATCATGGAGATAAACACAGACGGTCCAGAGATGCAGAAAAAGGCATCCATAATCGAGGAGATACTCGTGGACGATTAGAAGATATTAAGGCAAACAGACACTCAAAGGAAAGTGTAACGGATCAGCGTAAAGATCATGATAGTCACAGGCATTCGAGGGATCTTAAAACGGACAGGCGTCACAGTGAGACAGGCAGGCATTCGAGAGACAACACAACAACGCGGCATTCGAGGGATGAAAGAAGCTAGACAAGCCTTGATTTAAAAAAGAGCTCTTTCACAGGGTGAAGATGGCGCTCGGAAGGGATACCAGTGTTTTCTGGGGTGTACTACAACAAAAGAAGAGCTGTTGGGTTCTAGCCGTGTTCCGTTTGGATAGCTCTATGTAATTTAACGTTGCCTTCGGTTATGAATTCGTACCTCTCTAGTAACGCTTAACCAATAGGCCATTTCCGAATTACCTTTGGCCTCTTTTTGAAAACGAGGTTTGAGGTCCGTTTCACGAAAGTCCCGGTACCTTAACGCGCCCGAAGCCACGTTTTCAAATCAAAATTTAAAGGATAGAAAAGCAGATTCTGGCACATAAATCAGTCCATTTTGTTTCTTTAGCTGATGGTTTTATTGTATTATTTTCAAAACTTTTGAAATCCCTATCTTGAAAGAAAACAAAACTGCTTTACGGGCCCGTTAAGTTACCGGGGCTTTCGAGAAACGAAAAAGCTCAACCATTGTTAAGAAAACGAGTTTTTTTGCATGTGAATGAAAACTTGTCATCATATGAAGGATGAACACCCGGACTCGCTTTGAAAAAGAGGCTAAAGGTAATTCGGAAATGGGCTATTTATGTAATTTAAACTTCAGTAAAGTAAGGAAAAATTCTGTCAACAATTTGTACCAATGTCTATTTCAAGCAAGTACCGTGCACGTCTTGATAGAAAACTGAGAAACAGAAGAAAATTTTTTTTTCGTAGTGATGTATTTCGTAGCGACGTCGGGGATATTTAATTTTAATGTGTACGCATTTTGAAATCTTAATTTATGACAGTGAATCCTTGACGCCAGATTTTCTGACTAGGAACTGATGACGCCAAAAACCTATTACCAGTGTTTGATAACTCGCTATGAAATAAGTTTTGTTAACCCACAAAATCTTGATATGCAAACCTTTGCCTTTTAATCTAATCAGTAAAAAAGGGATAATTCATTCATTCGAGCCAGCTGTCGATGCATGGATCATTTTGTTCAATTCCCCGCAGTTGAACAACTCGCCAATGAAAATAGTGCTTTTGCCATATGACAGAATAATTAATGTTAAGATGATAAAAGAACGAAGCTCTTTTTCTGGGAATCAAAAACTGATGCTGCCGCACCCTATGAAAGATCAAACAGAGTTCATCACTCAGTTGTTGTCTCACATTTCAGCTGTTAAGCAATTTTTATCATGAGAGAAATCGTTCATTTGCAAGCCGGCCAATGTGGAAATCAAATTGGTGCAAAGGTACGTTAGATTTATGTGAACGCAATTTCAATTTAGTTGCAGATTTCCCTAAAATAAAGCCCTTGACACGTCTTGAGAACAAACCGAAGTGAACGGCTTTGATTAAAGAATAAAGATCGCCGGGGTGACATACAAAGGAGAGGAATTTACTCAAACTGAAAAACTTGTTTGCAAACGGCGTTTGAGAAATACCCATAGTTATATTTTTGGTAACACTTCTCCTTGTAAGAACTAAGAATATTTTTTAAAGCTTATTCCAGACAAAAGTGCTGTTTTTTTCGCTTTCGAGAAATAAATAATCGCATAAAAAGTAAGAAATGCCTTGAATATGATGTGTAATCCCGTGAGAACAAATTTTCGGAGAAACAAGACTACTTGTCGTAGTTTCATTTTAGAGAATTTGACCACGAGATCCTTGAGAACCATTCAAGGGGAATATTAGAAACCAACGGCCTAGTTGAAGTGGACATAAGAAGAACTTTCCTTCTTTTAGAATAAGAAAATGTTTATACCTCTAAAAAGTTTTAATTAACAGTTCTGGGAAGTGATTTCTGATGAACACGGAATTGACGCCTGTGGAGCGTACAAAGGCGACAGCGACAGCCAACTCGAAAGAATCAATGTGTACTATAACGAAGCTACAGGTAACTCAATTATAAATGAATTTACAGAAAACAATGCAGTTTTGTTTTTACTTTACAAAATTCATGAATGGCCGAATTGCTCTTTTTCATAATTAAACTAATCATTTCGGTGAAGATTTGAAATGCAAATTCGAACAAATTTTCACCGAATGTACGCACACAATTTTTTTTTCTTTTTCAGGGGGAAAATATGTGCCGCGAGCAGTTCTTGTCGATTTGGAACCAGGGACAATGGACTCAGTGAAAGCCGGACCATTTGGACAACTTTTTAGACCAGATAACTTTGTTTTCGGTAAGAGCAGTTCTTCTTTAAAAAAAAAAATGTGTTTGGCTGTGTGGCGGTTAAGTAATTGGGCTGCAGAAATCTAAATTATAGTAAAAGCAATATTTCGCTGTAATACTTCAAAACCAGATGTTCGTGGTGATAACATTTTTACCACCATAACACCTCAAAATCTTGGCCTTGCCAGAAAACAAAGAATCGCTTTAAAAATTTAATTTCACAAGATGTATAGAAACAGTTGGCTTTTACGCCACTTAAGAAACATGTCAATTATTAAACACTGAACGTTTCAAATTAAAAAATACAGTTGTTTTAATTTCTCATTTATTTTCTATCGTTGTAGTATTTTTTCATTCAAAAGTAAGATGTATTTCAACGTGCGAATGCTCTGGTTATAACGCTTTAAATTTTCTCTTTTCTTTCAGAAATATGTTTTGCAATAAATACAATCTAAAGCTTCTGAAACAATATATTAGTTCTTCCGACGATTTTTTATCACAGATATATTTCAAATTAAGAAGATTTCCTCTCATATTCCTCACTTTTATATATGGAGGTTTCGCCACACTGCAAGTTCGCTCCTCACCACCTTTGCGAGCTCGCACCGTAAAATAAAACAAGTTCACCCCCCATCTTTACCAGTTCGCCCCAAATGTTTCCAATTGTTCCGAAACGTATTCCTTTTTTATGTAAAAATCGTTATATATCTCGATCAACTTTAAATTTCATACTCAAAACCCTAACAAAGTTTGATAAACGCGCAATTTCTTAGGCTTGCTAAATGACGCACGTAAAGGTGGGGGCACACTTTTTCCTCTTCAGGGGAAGAACTTCCAATCGGGTCAAACCCCAAGATGCATTCAATTCTTCCCCTCTCTTCCCCTTTCCTGTAAGGTCAAAGTGGAGCGGGTAACAACTGGGCCAAAGGTCATTACACAGAGGGTGCAGAGCTGGTAGATTCGGTACTAGATGTCGTTCGCCGCGAAACGGAAGGATGCGACTGCGTTCAAGGCTTCCAACTGACACACTCCCTTGGAGGTGGAACTGGGGCAGGCATGGGCACTTTGCTTATTTCGAAAATTCGGGAAGAATATCCTGATCGAATCATGACTTCATTTAGCGTCGTGCCGTCTCCAAAGGTAAATGAAAATTAGGGCGGACTAAATGCACAGTAGGGGGGAGGACTCAACTTTAGACTTCAACATTGATCAAGGCGTTATCATACAAAGTAGGGTACTTGTGATCTCGTACCCAGGTCCTACCGTTCAACTGTAACTGAACCGCTTGGCTGCGGAGGGTCTGGGTACAGGATTAAGACAATTGTTGTATAGTGGTTTAATCATCAAAAATCATGTAAGGTAAAGGGTAAACTCTGTACATAAGCCAAGTGGCTCATCCCGCCGGTGCTTAACTCCGGTTTCCGTATCATGAAGCGACTAGGAGTATTTCTACTCCCCCCCTCCCCCTGGATGGGATGCTAGTCTATCGCAGGGTTACCCCCCAACATTAAATTTTCCGGTACCCATTTAAACACTTGGGTGAAGAGAGGCACTGTGAGAGTAAAGTGTCTTGCCTAAGAACACAACACAATGTCCTCAGCCGGGGCTCAAACCCGTACCACTCGAACCGGAGTCGAGTTCACTACCCAGGAGGCCACCGTGCCTCCCAAAATGATGTGGTTCTCTTAAATTCATTTCTCGTCTCGGTGAAATTAATTAATAAATAACAGCACGAAATAGACTCTGTTTCTCTTCGAGTTTTTACGAACTCCAAATATGGTGCAAGTGTTTGTTATCGTTGAATGATCGTAGTAAAACAGTCGGAGTTGTGGTTAGTGTGACAAAAGTCATGGGGTTCGTGTTTCAAGAATATTACTTATTTCTGATAATTAAGCGCCTTTATTGTTCTAAAATCCACCGAGAGGCTGGTGTAGGACCACCATGTTCAAAATATAACCTACATTCCTTACTTTTTACTGGCTTTTGATCGGAAAGCTAAACACCTGCCATCGCATGCAATCAAATCAGTTTTGAAATCTTTCCTCCTTCTGGGCAGAGTTTTCGGAAAGTGCAGCAACCAGGGAGAACTGTGGCCTTCAAACTTGTTCCCAGTGCCTTTTCGCTTACTTGGGGGAGGGACGGGGAAAAAATAAGGGAAAAGGCCTTAGGATTGAGGTTGTGTTACATTAAATCATTTTCAATGTTACTCGTAACACATTTTGCGTGGGTATGAATCGTTGAATATCCAATGAGTTGGGCTTTTATCAGTTTTGATTCATACTTGGACCTGTTTCAGGTATCAGACACTGTCGTGGAACCGTATAATGCCACCTTATCTGTTCATCAGCTGGTCGAGAACACAGATGAGACTTTCTGTATTGATAACGAAGCTCTGTATGAAATCTGCTTTCGAACACTCAAGCTAACCACACCCACATACGGGGATTTGAATCATTTGGTGTCCGCTACAATGAGTGGGGTGACAACTTGTTTACGTTTTCCCGGACAGGTAAGAGGACATCATATCTGAAAAGAACTACGAACTGGATCATGATAGCTTTGTCTCACGTTGCCGACATCACATCACTGCTAAACATCACTGACTGCCACTGACAAAAGTTCTTGAAAGGGTCCTCTCGAGCGGACTACAACACCGCACGTTCGACTGTTCCTTTAGAGCTCAAAATGTTTGCTGTAATGGGAATAAATCGCTTTTGGTTATATCAAAACCAGACTAAACACAACGACCCATTGCAACAAATGTGAATGTGAATGCAAGAAGGTAAAAGTGAGGATGAACGTTAAACATGTTAACTTAGATAATGTCAGTGCTCAGTCACAAGTCGTTCCAATTCTATAAATGAAAAATCTTACAGCCACGGCAGTGAATAAACTAATCACTCCACAGAACGATGAAAAACTCTGCCAATGCATCGAAACCGACCAATCACAACTAGTGACGTGTTTTTTTTTTTTTTCGAGTCTTGCAGCCAATGACAATAATATTCTCGAATCATATTTACAACATAACGTTGAAAACAAAAACAAAAATAAATCAACGCAATAGGACTCTTATGATCACTACCATTTTTGTTCAGGCTGTAGAAAAGTCATCCACCCTTTATTGGATAATGCGACACGATCGACCATTTCTCCTGGATTCAAACTAGTCTTTGGAGAAATAAAGGATATTCTGAAAATTATTATGTCGGATGTAGCCAAAAATTTTTTTGTTTTGTTTACATCCTAGCTCAATGCCGACCTGAGGAAATTGGCAGTGAACATGGTCCCATTCCCCCGCCTGCATTTCTTCATCCCAGGCTTTGCACCGCTGACCAGTCGGGACAATCAGCAATACCGCGCACTGACTGTGTCCGAGTTGACTCATCAGATGTTCGATAACAAGAACATGATGGCGGCCTGTGATCCGCGCCATGGAAGGTACCTCACTGTAGCTGCCATGTTCCGCGGGAAGATGTCCATGAAGGAGGTTGACGAGCAGATGCTGAATGTTCAGAATAAGAACAGGTAATGAAGACATATGTTAGAGATTTGTCGTAAGCATGTAGGGCCAGGGTGGAGGCGTGGTGGCCTCATGGTTAGTGCGCTCGACTCCGGATCGAGTGGTCCGGGTTCGAGCCCCGGCCGGGACATTGTGTTGTGTGCTTAGGCAAGAAACTTTACTCTCACAGTGCCTCTCTTCACCCAGGTACCGGCAATTTTATGCTGGGGGTAACCCTGCGATGGACTGGCATCCCATCTAGGGGGGAGTATAAATACTTCTAGTCGCTTCATGCTATAGAAACCGGAGTTAAGCACCGGCCTAATGGGCCACTAGGCTCGTAACAGACTTTACCTTTACCATGTAGGACCAGGGGACTAAGAAAAATCTCCGAGAAGATTTAACCTCCATCCAGCACAATGGAGTTCCTATTGAGTTTCTCAAAATGGTAGGAGGTATCGGAGATAAAATATCAAAGAGCAACATCGCATCACTCTGTTTGATCCCGTTTTTCTTATCTATAAGCTATAAACTGCTCTCATCATGATTTCTCAATTCCAGCACCTACTTTGTGGATTGGATTCCAAACAACGTGAAGACTGCCGCGTGCGACATACCTCCTCGCGGGCTTAAAATGTCAGCGACATTCATTGGCAACAGCACAAGCATTCAAGAGTTGTTCAAAAGAATCAGCGAGCAGTTTACGGCCATGTTCAGACGCAAAGCGTTTCTACACTGGTATACCGGGGAGGGAATGGATGAGATGGAATTTACTGAAGTGAGAAAAAGAAATGAATTCTGTACATTCAAGTCTATATTTAGCTATTTATTCATGAACTCAAGATTCCCATTGCGAAATAGTTGATGAGGACGAAGCCCGAATTAATTTCACACCTTAGATTAATCTGATAGCATTGGTATACACTGACCAGACCTTCAAAACTTAGCAATAAGATGGGCTAGTGTTTTCAATGTATTTTTTTTTACTACCACAAGCAGTAAGGTTATTCAATTTACTGACTATCTATCGCGGAATGGATAGCGAATAGTGTAGCCAATCAGATTGGTGCATTTCTGATATTTATACTAATACCGGGTACCAAGTGCATTCAAACACATGTACATCTAACATTTCTTTTTAACATTTCTTTTTCCGGTCAATGAACGACTCTCTCTCAGTACACCTATCTTCGTGTTGCTCATTTTTGTTGTAGGCGAAATGACCAATGTGATTGGCTGTTACAGGCCCTGAATTATTACCTTATGTTAATCACGCAGTTTCAGAATTGTCCAAGTTGACCTAGGGAGGTGAAACTTGATCGCACAACCATTGGATAGGAAATCATTGTGTCGTTTGGGCCCTTCAGTTTTCTTTGTCATTTTCTGTCTGATCTCCGTCATTCTAGCTATTTTGATGTTCTTATTTCAACAGGCTGAGTCTAACATGAACGACCTGGTGTCTGAATACCAACAGTACCAAGACGCTACAGTCGATGAGGAGGAATTTGACGACGAAGAAGAATCAGAAGCCTAAATAAATATTTGTCACGTCTAAGCGGACAATACAGTTTTTCGTTTAATTCCTCTGCCACTTTTACTCTCTTCCTTCATCCTCTCCTCTTGTTAGCCTTTCCCTCATCTCGCCTCATCTCC